CCCCAAAACCCCAAAACCCCAAAACCCCAAAACCCCGTTAATATTTTATTAAATTGGGCAAACATATTATAATAATTAATAAAAGATGAGTTTTAGCAAACCTAAGGAAGACCTCCTCGAGAACTACATTTCCTCTTGTAGTCCTCAAAGAAATATTGCCTCGATAGATACTGTAAGATTTTGCAAAGACTTACCTAATTTCATATAGAACAATGAAAGTAGCACATATTTCAAAACCGAGGAGAGGTTTTCCTATCATGGGAACTATCAGAACTTCACTACAGAACTTAATGAAGTGGTTCCTCATGATGAACTTAGCATGTCTTTTAATAATTTTGAACTTCCAATGTTCTCATTTCCACCAAACCAAAAATATCCATTTAATTTTGAGGAAGATAGAGAAATATTAATGAACCAAGGTTCTTCTTTTTATAAGTTCAATGCTAATGAAGCAAAGAAATCAAACTTAACCTATGCAGATGCTTCAAATGAATCCTTTGAGGAAACTGAATCTCATAAAACTTGCTCTAAGAGTCAAAATATCTCTGAAATCACAGATAAGGTAACCCTTTAAAAACTTTACTATCCTAATAGCATGAATCTAGCTTTTGTCTGTCTTTTGTAATCGAGTGAATTTGTAAATCCCTAACTTTCTAGCCAATTGAGAGCAAGCCAAACGACAATCTTGAGGAATTACTAAATGGACTTACCAGCGTACCCCACTACAAAGATCACAGATTCTCTACCAGAAGAGATGTTATTAACAAGACCATTTTCAGAATTATGAAAAGATTCTTCGTTATGAAATTCAAGGAAGCATTCCCAAAGATGAAACTTAAATCTACTTCCCTCAAAGAATTCACGGATGCTAGCGATAGCTTTCTTTCTTCAGTAGAAGAGCTAGCTCCGATTAGGAGTCAATTGAAATACTTTATCGTTCAGATGCTATCCACTAAACTTGCTTCGAACTTTGAAGTAAGTGAGGAACTGAAAGAGAGTCTGAAGCTGCTCGATACCTGCCTTTACTCTTACTCTGATAAAGCATTGAGAAAAATCTTTAGTGATTCTCTATCAACATCTTTGTTCAACTACTTCTTCAAATACGGTCAGAAGTTTTACAAGGACCAGAAGAACGTCAAGAAGAACGAGGTTGAATATGTAAAGATGTTGAATAATCTTCACATGAGCTTTAACAGCTCAATATCCATATAATTGGATCTATTCCATAACTATGGAATGTTCTCCCAACTGGGAGAGATGTTTACAAAACATTTATGTCCACTAAATTACATATCGATAATACAACATGTTCAATGATCTCTGAGCTATTCGGGGTTTTGGGGTTTTGGGGTTTTGGGGTTTTGGGG